ATGAAACACACGACAGAATCAGTCATCAAAGTGGAGTGGTCCAAAACCCTAAAGCGTTTTTCACGATCCCAGGTCAAGCATTTGGTGAGCATCGGCGTCCTCTTGGGCGAAGGTAACTATGGCTCTGTCTTCAAAATTTCCGGTCTTTTGGGCCAAAATGCTCCCCCGTTGATCCTTAAAGTCAGCAAAAAGGAATTTTTTTCCAATGACCTAAAGGATGAAGCCCATTTTTTACATTTGCTAGACTGTGCCGGGGGAGCACCCAAGCTGTTGGCCTATTCCCAAGACCCTCCAACTATTATGACCACTTACGCCGGCGATCAAACCTTGCGCAAACTCCTGCAGAACTCCGACCATGGTCTTTCCAATTCACAGCTCCTGGAAATAGCAATAGGAATTGGCGAAAGATTAATGGAAATTCACCTGCTCGACGTCGTCCACAATGACCTTCACTGGGAAAACGTCCTGGTCACCTTACCCACTGCTGACCAAGATTTACAGCTGAGCCTTATTGATTATGGCTTGGCCAAGATGGCCGGAGAAAACCTCCACTTGCAGTCCGGAACTGCTGTTAACCAGGTTTGGATGTGTCCCCAGGTACGTGATGGTGTCTGCAGCACCTTCAAGAGTGATGTATATAGCTATGGCATTATCCTCACCCAGATCCTGGACCAGCTGACATGTGATATATTTCAGGAGTTGGCCGACTTAATTGATGCAGCTTGCGAGTACGAGTCCTGTGACAGACCACCATTGCGTGCGCTGTTGCAGAGACTAGAGTGTACACTGGAAGACGTGAGGCTCCGGGGTGTCTGATTCGACTATCTACCACCTTCTCTCTCCCCACCAATACTTACACCTCCTCCACCAACAGTTACACCTCCTCCACCAACACTTAACCTCCTCCACCAACACTTAACCTCCTCCACCAACAGTTACACCTCCTCCACCAACAGTTACACCTCCTCCACCAACACTTAACCTCCTCCAAACACAACCTCCTCCACCAACAGTTTTTGAAAAAGTTAAGAATTTTGTTTAAAAATCTAAAATAAAAATAAAAATATATATATATATATATATATATATATATATATATATATATATATATATATATATATATATATATATATATATATATATAGAGATAGAGTTTTGATAGTCATACTGGTGTATATTGCTATTAGTTCACTTCTTTAACCTTAAGTTTTATACGTTAATAATAATAACAATAATAATAAGAAAAATAATAAGAAGAACAAGAACAAGAAGAGCAGGAACAAGAAGAACAAGAAGAATAGGAACAACAAGAACAAGAAAGAATGGGAACAAGAAGAACAAGAACAAGAAGAGCAGGAACAAGAAGAACAAGAACAATATGAACAAGAAGAACAACAATAAAAAGAACAAGAACAATCACAACAACAACAAGATTACTAATGTTATGTGTGGTAAGCTAACAAACCCCCAACCCTCCCAGCTGGTTCATCACGTGACCACACACACACTGCAGCAGGCCATCACGCCGAGGAAATACTCCAGTTTATCCCAAATACATTTCTCTATAGCGGCTGCATCTTCATCATGATCTTCAACAAACCCAACAAAAGCTCCTCTAGCGCTGGTAAAAGCCACATCAACACACACACACACACACACACACACACACACACACACACACACACACAAGGATTAACACCCACATGACTCACAATAAACATAACGAAAATAACCTGACAATTATCCCTATACATTGATCCTTATCCACCAAATCCTTGAGTTGTTTACCATAGTTCACCTGGTGGTTAATGAGGCTTAATCACCTCAGGTAGGGTTGTTAGTCGTGAGGTTAAGGGTCTGCTAAATGAGGCTCTCTTAAGGCCGGATGGACCTGACGGGATGTAACCTTTAGAATATTACTAGTACCTTGGGCGTTTCTTTCTCCATTTTACTTCTTTTTTTTTTATTCTAATAACAAAAGAAATAAATTGATATACCGTAGCTTTTATTGTTATTATTATTGTTGTTGTTGTTTTTGTGTGTTTGTTTGTCTGTTAATACAATGAAAGTAGTTTAAGATGTCGTCGCTAAGATTTCCCATGCAGTATTGATTATTTCCCTATACCATTCTCTCCTTCCTACCATCTCCTTTTCATCAGTATCTTCCTCTCTTCCCTCATTCCAGTCCATGTCCTTCATTCTCTCCCTGTCTCTCTTCTTTCAACTCCCCTTTCCCTACTTCCTCTTATTTCTTGTCCTTTCATTCCCTTTTCTTTCAGTTCCACCCTTTATTCCTCGTCCCTCCCTTCCCTATTCGCTCCTGCCAATACCTTTTTCCCTCCTAATCAGTCCTCGTCTCTCTCTCTCTCTCTCTCTCTCTCTCAACATTCATCCCTTCCACCCTCTCCCACGTCCCTCCGTTTCCCGTCACCTATCCTCAGCACATCACCACAACATAACCCCGACACAGTATATATACAACCTGACTCTCCCCCTCATAATATATCCACCTCACACACAGTCAATCTCTCCCCGGAAGCCCATCTTGTTTGTTGTTTACTGGTATTCCTTAAGCAGATAATGCAATACATCTTTTTTGTAGCATCTTTCCACGGTAATAAATTATCTAAAATGTATAAAGAGTTAGGAGATGAAATTCACCTGAGGAATCTTGATTGACTTGGTTGACGCCCTATAGGTATGCCAGGTAACATATTGTACATATCCTTGGCTATTTTACCTGCCCTACGAGACGTGATATTGGCAACTTATTGTAGATGATTTTAAGGAGTTGGTGATTCAGGTGTTTGGGTTTTAGATTTGGGTTCGATTCCCATTCCAGGATTTTACAGTTCTCTCAACATATATTCCAATTAATAATACACTGTTGTTATAATATTTTTCTATACAGTAACACCTAAGGTCATCATACACACACAGTAAATTAATTCATACACAAAACATCAACAGTTAAGAACTACAGTAAGAAATGTATTTTTATGTATGCTAATATATTCAGTATCATTCTTAAATCCTTTTACATAATATCTTAACATTAACTTAATTAAAGAACCTCGTGTGTATGAGTGTCTCCGCTTCTGAAACACGAAAAATTACTTTATAATCAAGTAGTTTAATAAATAAAACCATAACTAATTATTTTTTGAGCCAAACATGAAGGTCTCGACATTGACCTTAGCATAAACTATGATTTTCTTTTTTTGTACAGAATTATCAATATTTTTCTACATCAACATATCACAGTCTATCTCTCTCGATGCTGAACAGTCATCCTCCAGCCATAAAACACCGAGGTTGAGTAATTATTAAGGTAAGCGTAACGAAGAAGGTATTTTACGACGAATGGTGATAAGGTTTTTTTTTTTTTCGTGGATATTAGTCGACAATGGAGAGTTATTTATGTTAGAGGCTGATAATGAGGTGTTATAAGATTTGAGAACAGTGTATAAGTCTTGGTTGGGGAGGAGGGTAGGACAGGGCAGGAGGCAGGGAGGGCCATGTTTGTTATTGGAGATTTTACGTATTTGTTAGACAGATACTGTGTGTGTGTGTGTGTGTGTGTGTGTGTGTGTGTGTGTGTGTGTGTGTGTGTGTGTCCAGCATTACCTCACCAACTCTCATAAAGTAAACACAACACACAGCTTATGTTGTAAAAGTCCATCAGCATCTTGAAGATTCCCACTAAAGTTACGATGATGCCCTTGGTCAGCCTTGGCTGGGGGACGAGGGGGGGTAGGGGCTGGTTCCCTTAGCCTTGGCGGGGAGGAGGGTGGACGTTCCCTAATCCTCTTGGGGGAAGGAGTCTAGAGGTTCGTTCTTTTAGCCTAGGCGGGGGATAAGGGTACGTTCCTTTAGCCTCGGAGATCGCCCTACTAGCAATCATATCATCACATATAGTACTTCAGCCAATGACCCAGAAGGAGAAAAGTCTTCCTAAACACATCAGACACAACAGTGACCTCCGCTACACACCCCGAAGCCACCAGTCAGTACCTCATCTCCCAGACCAGTTCCTACAACGGGTCATAAGTAGTCCAGGTGGGTAGTCCTCATCATGTCATCATCACAACAGTAATTGATGCTTGAGGGAGAATCATTATGGAAACAGATACCTCGTCCTCAAACCCCCTTGTAAGTGCCTTCCCCACACCCATCAGGATCCCACACCTGTTCCGCACCCCTCAGGATTCCACACCTGTTCCGCACAAATCAGGATCCCACACCCGTTTCGCACCCATCAGGATCCCACACACCTGTTCCACACCCCTCAGGATTCCACACCTGTTCCACACCCTTCAGGATCCCACACCTGACCCACACCCTCTACCTACACCCTTACATAATGTGTGTGTGTGTGTGTGTGTAAAAATAATAATATCTATTTAACAGTAATTAGGACAAACGCTGATCCCTGTACAGTTATAACCTAACCTAACCTAACCTCACTCAACAAGTTACGGGGTCGCAGGTGTTTATCGGACGCCTACTGTGAGGAAAGCATTGTCTTCACGCTGGTAATTGTTTCTATATGACAAAGCGACCTTCTTGAACTAGGTGTGTGTGTGTGTGTGTGTGTTTACGTATGCATATCAAGTCGCGCTCAGTAGGTGTGTTTATGGAGGATATGATTTATTGATCAATTTAAGTTTAAACAAATATACATAGCCATATTGTGTGTGTGTGTGTGTGTGTGTGCGCGTGTGTGGTTTCAATATTAAACCTTCTACTTTGTCCATTATACCTAAGCCATTAAAGATACTGTTGAACAATAACCAGAGTTAATTATCATCTTTATAAACTAGACACTCATTCAAACCTTGACCTTCTCACTGTTGACGTCATACTAAAGGAATCACTACAACTTATAAACCAATAAACAAACCCCCTTTCCACAGGTACCGTTCTATAACCACGCCCACTAAACTTTCTCTCCTGTGATTGGCTAGTTGTGAACCACTCCTGACCCGCATATATGGTGAGGCTGCACGTGTTGCCTGAAGTACGGTACAAGACAATCGGTAGGTGGACAATTCTTCACCAGGTGTGGATGCTTCCAGTAAGGTTTGGTGACGTTAGGAATCCAATGATATTTCAATAAGACTACAGGTGTTCTAAGCTCGTGAGAAGAGGACAGGTGTGCTCTCGTTAGTACCGTGCTATATGGAACAGGTGTAAGAGACGTGAGGAGATATGACAGGTTGTTATGGTTGAAGTGGAGCAGTGTGAGGGAGGGGCCAAGGACGCACCTACACAAATGAGAGGGGGGAGGGGGGGAGGGGGAGGGGAGGGGAGACAGCTTATCTATCTATCTATCTTTATTTGTTGACACCTGGTGGGAGTAAATTACCCTCTAAAACACCTGGATTTATGTGGAATTTAAGAAAACAGTTGACTAAACGAGGTACTAGGGTCCCTTACCGCCCCCCCCCCTTCCCATCTGTGGCCGCCCCGTTTGTTTACAGGTAACATGAAGGTGATCTTGTTAATGACGTCGTAAATAAACCCTAAGGAATAGAATTTGTGGAATTACAAACATACTTCCTTGTCTAAATAAAAATAAATAAAAGCTTGATTGATAATTATTTAGTTATTTTAGCTGTTTAATTGGTACAATAAATCATAATTAATTGGTTTAATTACCTGGGTAAGCTGATCTAACCTAACCTAACCTAACCTAACCCCAAGGTAGTGTTAAGGTATTTAAACATAAGATAAAATAAACTAGGTTAGGTTAGGTTAAATCAGGTCAGGTCAAATCAGCTTAGTGGAGACACCCGGTTAAGAAAAAATTATAT